TCTCATATACTAAACTAGTACGTACTATTGTTATTGTACTACACAAGCGTGAGGTAACTCTTCACTGTACAGATGAGTCAGTAAGATCAGTTAGTTTATGGTATGAGGATCCTAATGTTGAATATGCTAAAGGGAAGCATGCTGGACTACTTGGGCTTGCCCTATTGGTGTCTGTTTTCTTTGTCATACCATACACACTGTTCCTTTTATGTCATCCAGTATTTGAGAAGCATCTGTCATATTTCAAACTGTTTAAGAGCTGGAGTCGTTTCAAGCCTATTATTGATGCTTATAGTGGTCCAATGAAAGATGAGTATCGGTTCTGGCCCGGTCTACTGCTAGTGGCTAGGATACCAGTACTTTTAATTGTCACCTTTTTGCAGAATGAATCACGTGTCTTGTTATTGGCAGTAGCAGCTATTATCCTCTCCATTAGTTTTATGTTTGGTGGTGTGTACAAAAAGAAATTAAACAATGTCATTGAATTTTGGTTTCTCTTAAATTTGTGCATCATGGCTTCTTTATCTATAGCCTTTATTGATGAGAATAAAATATTGATTTGGTACAATACTTGCTTATCTGTTTTTATTTTTAGTTTTAGTTTGATTATTGTCTATCATTTTTACCTGCAGTTATCACCTATGAAATGTTATGATGCTCTAATTAAGAAGTTATTCAAGAAACAAGATCAAGGTGATGATGATCAAGATGCCACTGAATGTCATAAAACTGTTGATCAACAAATGAGAGAAATAGTACCAACATCTACTGATGTTAGTCTCAGCAATAATCGTGAATCAGTTGTTGATTTGTTTTAATCATAGTCTTTAGTAATTTTTGCTGCCACTTCTGTTTTTAGTACTTTTAGCTACTTTAATTTTAAAAGCAGTAACTATTAACAAGATTACATAATTTCTATTAATGTAGTTTTCATTATTGTCATAGATGTTTGTTTACTGAATAATCCCATGTGTTATGAATTGTTTTCTATTGCTATTTTTGTAGCTTAATACTTTTGTTTTTAATAAAATATTTCCTTTTTTAAAAACCATGTTAATAGTGTGTACTTGTCTGAGTCAATTTATGGGGCATTTAATTTGTTACAAAGTCATTGTACGTGTACACTGTAAAATACATCAATGGTCTATAGTTACATGAACATGTAAATCTGCTTTTAAAATTGAAGTACATGACACATGTACAATAAGTCTGTAGGTAGTGTAGATCAAAATACTGCTAGTGGCTAGGATACCAGTATAATTATCAATTATTTCTGGTGACAGTTACAGCACTTCCTATTGTCAATGCTATTGACAGTGTTAGTTATTGTGCTAACATTGAGTCATTGTTTTGGTGGAGTTTACAAGAAAAGAATGAACAATGTGCTTGAAGTTTGGTACTTATTTAGCTTGTGTATCATTGCTTTTCTATCTGAGTTCTCTATTGAAGAAAGTGAAGTATTGATTTATCTGGTTTTTTTAGTTTTATTTTGATTGTTGTTTATCATTTTTACCAGCAGTTATCACACATGAAATGTTATGATGCTCTAATTAAGAAGTTATTTAAGAAACAAGATGAAGATGATGTTTTAGATCTCATTGAATCACATAAAACTGTTGATCAACAAATGAGAAAAATTGTACCAAGTTCTACTGATGTTAGACTCAGTGATAGTCGTGAATCAGTTGTTGATTTGTTTTAATCATAAATTTTGCTACTGTACTTTTAATTATCTACATTATTATTAGTTAATTTAGTTTTAGGCTATTAAAGCAGTGACTAGATCTATATATTCCTCAATGTTATTTTTTTTAATTTTCATTTAAAGTCTCTTTGTATAATGTGCATACAATTAATAATAATCATTCATTTTTAATTAAGAAGTGATATGAGATTTAATTCATCTTTGTACTTTGGATGACATTTCACTGAATACACCTGTATCAAGATACAATAAGATATCAATTATGCACATCCAATACAGTAAACAGTAAGGGCACATAGGTCATAGTTAAGACTAATACTCACCTAATAATGACTCTGAGTCTTTCTCTGATATTTGCTTTAACTGTCTACAAAAGTCATTTAACTGTGTGATGAAGATTATGGTTTACAGTATAAAGATAAAAAGAGGAAGAGGAGAAATAGCTAATCAGACTGATTATCTCTCACTTCATAAATATATGATTCCAATGTCCCCAATGAACTGTTGGTGGCCTTTAAATAATAATAATGAGCTGTAAGATCTGGTGAGAGAGAGAGAGGAGAGAGAGAGAGAGAGAGAGAGAAGACAATTTCTAATGCTTTTGATCCACACAAATAGCAATAGGCTATACACATAACAAGCATACAAGGATCAGTGGCATATAAAGAGTCTCTATCAACAAACCTTTTTAATGGGAGGTCAATCTTATGATACAAATCACTCATGAACTCTTTATGACTTGTCCTACAAAACAAAAACACATATACTACTACTGTATATTACATGCATACCAAACTGATACATTATCCGATACACTTACTTAATGCAAAGAAATAATTCTTCAATGTACTTCCCATAATCTTCCATGCTCTCTTTCTGTCTGATTATTTCTGCCTCTTGAGTCTTCAACTTATCATAAAAAGAAATAGAGATGAGCAATCCATCATAATACACATACTACAGTATACCTGGCCAGCTTGTCTTGATTCTATTATTTCAAGTGTTCTTAGTATTGTCTCTGATAATGTCTATAAAATTGTGCTATCAATGATAA